AAACAAGCAGACGGCCTTCCCCCCATCCCCAGGGAAAAGCTGGTGGGTGGCCTGTGCAACCTCCTTCCTCCCGACAGGCTAGCCTCAGGGAGAAGCCAGTGGGCAGGTTGCATGGCTCTTGTCACCCCCCAGACCCAGGCAATGCCAGGTAAAACAGAAATACAGCCATTATCACTGCATATTCCCATGAACGCCCTGTTACCAGACAAAAATACTTATAAGGTCAACATGTTCCTCAGCCAGTACTCTTATTGTATTTTTGGCACTTGGGTTCAATGTTTGGTTAGGAGCGAGATGATTGGTTTTAAGAAGAAATTCTAGGAAACCAATTTTTTTTTTTAAAAAAAAAAAAATCTAGTTTTAAGATACTGGAAATTTTTGTATTTTTTAAATGAACACTCTTTTATGATTATCTCTGAATCAACTCAACTAGCTATATGGGGGTTTTGAGCTTTAGGTTGTCTTTAAGGTTAAAGGTGTTGGCCAAAAGCTCATAATTAAAGCTTAAGGACCACTTTCAGTGTCGCATCACTTATCTTCATCTAACTTTAGAACATCCATTTAATATACCACATTAGCAGTCTTTAGGGAGTGAGCTTTATTGTTTAATTCAAGGTCATAACCATCTTAAATAAAATAGAGGTTTCATTTTAAATAAAAAGGCTTTCATTTTTTAAAAAGGGGGTTTCTATCTCTCAGGCCTGGAAAGAAAACCATTCAAATATGAGCAATTACATTTGGTTTCTTTAGCATACTGCACTGGGGGTGATGAAATTTTCAGTTACACTTCAACAATTCTTAAGTGAAATTAACTAATTTATGTTTACTGAATATAAAATGTCGGCTTTGGCCAGAAGTGACAGAAGAAAAATTAAAACCACAAACTTACATTTTCACATACCTAAAGAGCTCTGTGTAAGTTCATAAGCTTGTCTCTCATCAACAGAGGCTGATCTAATAAAAGGTTACGTCATTCACCTTGCGTCTCTAAACACTGCAGGGCTTAACTCAAAATAAGCTACTCAAATTAAGCTGTCAATTGCATAGCTTATTTTGAAATAGCTTATTTCGAAATAGGGAGCGTCTACACAGCACTTTGAAATAGAGCACTCTTCCTCCGACTTCCCTTATTCATCGTACAATCAAGGTTACAGAGGCCAGAGTAAGAAGTCCTCCAGCTTGACCGTATTTTGACACTATTTCGAAATAACTTAGTCTGCATCTACACAGCAGGCAGTTATTTCAGAATAGTGGCAGTTATTTCGAAATAGTGTTGCAGTGTAGACGTACCCAACCTTAGAGGGGAGGGGGTTAGAGGGAGGTATGGACCTGCAACAGTGCAAAGGATGCTGGAAAGTAGCATCGCATGGGGAGGTGAAGTTGATTATTTTGGTGTTACTGGGGGGGAAGAGAGGCACTTGGGAAAAAGCTGCTAATCCCTGCTTTAGAATATGAAATAGGTAGAATCTTTTGCAAAGAGCTGTTTGTAACTTGTTCTCAGCACCAGATGGATCAGACTTCACATTGTAAATGCCATGTCTGTTTGTATATCTAGTTACAGAAACAAGGCCTCCCTAGGGAGAAAAAAATCCCCTAGTTTAAACAAGAGTTTCAAAAAGGGAGGGGGGGGCACATGTTCAGTTCCCATGGAAAGCTTCTGAAATGATAGCAAACTTTCGACTTCTTCCCTGTTATATCACATTTCAGAAATGTGTTTTACCCCACAGCAATGGTGGATAAATAAATTTGTGCTGGAATTTCTAACTAGAAAAATCAGAAGCTATAAAAAGTAAGGATGTGTTTCTATCCACACCACTATCAGCCCTAAGCAGATATGGTACACTGCTTTCTGAAGTGGTGATTAGGTACTTTCTATGCACACACATCAATCCAATCAGTCCCTTGCCATTTTCAGCCTGTTTACATCATACAGTCCTTTAAGAGGACCTTTGAAGCTGTCACAGCCCTAAAACATAGGAGAGCATTTAGTTTCTGATAGAACTGCACATCATGAACACATTGTGCTCGGTGCCAAGTTTAGTCGATAAACTATGTTTTTGCCAGCTCAGTACCAGTTCACCATTAAAGCAGCCTGAAAGATTCCAGCTGCTCACTCCTAGTGAATAAATGCATTTTATACATTCTAAATGCCTGTGGACAAGTAACAATTTAAATTAAGCAACTAGTTATCTGCCCTTTACTTAGGTATCTCAAGAATACTGCAAAATCTTCAGATCTTTAAACAAGGTTGGGTCTGAGCCTTTGATAAAAAGCATTAGAGCAGCATAAATCTCAGTCCCAAAAACATCCTCTGCTACTCGCTGGGAAGTCGTTACTACTTGTTCTTCCAATAAGTTTGGCCTGTCCTGGTAAAGGGGTCACTGCAAATAAAGGTCAAAAGTTGTCCATTAAAAAATTGGCTGATAGCCTACCTTGGGTGAGGAGGAAAAAAGATTTTCACTTTCAAGAAGGCCATTTGTGGGATAAAAGGCTCTAAAGAATTTCACCTGGATAATCCAATAAAGTGGTTATGGAATAAGCTTTCCGAAGCCCATAATCAAAGGCTTTAGCTGCACAATTCTCCCACTGACTTTAATAGTTTACTAGGAAAATGTGACTGGGCCGGAGAGGTATAGTGCAGTGCTGATGTTCTAGGAGAGACATTAGTACTGAAGAGAGGAGACTGCGATGTTGAGGCAACTGTAAGATGGGTATTGCACATAAACAGTAGCAGTGCTGATGGTAGCAGTGCTGACGGTAACTATGCCATGTAGTCTGTGTCATGAGTTGTAACAGTGCCAAGCGAGATGCCGGAATGGTCAGCTCTGTAGCCATAGGCTAAGTCTACACTGGCCCCTTTTCCGAAAGGGGCATGCTAATTTTACAGGTCGTAATAGGGAAATCCGCGGGGGATTTAAATATCCCCCGCGGCATTTAAATAAAAATGTCCGCCGCTTTTTTCCGGCTTTTAGAAAAGCCGGAAAAGAGCGTCTACACTGGCCCCGATCCTCCGGAAAAAGCGCCCTTTTCCGGAGGATCTTATTCCTACTTCGGCTTTTAGAAAAGCCGGAAAAGAGCGTCTACACTGGCCTCGATCCTCCAGAAAAAAGCCCTTTTCCGGAGGATCTCTTATTCCTACTTCAAAGTAGGGGATATTTAAATCCCCCGCGGATTTCCCTATTACGACCTGTAAAATTATCATGCCCCTTTCGGAAAAGGGGCCAGTGTAGACGTAGCCA